ATATATATATATATTATATATATATATACATATATGTATGTATATATATGTGTGTGTATATATATGGATAGATGAATCTGCATCAGTCTATATTATTTTATTTTTTTTAAATGTTCATAAATTTGTTAAATTACACTCCATACAACATCTACTTCAGAAGGAAATACTGGATTCTACTACGAAGGAATTTATTCCATTCATAATGAGGAGGAACTGTCATCTTTACCATTAGAAGACGGTAAGCCATGTTTACTAATATGTTTATATGGTATAAAGCTACAAATCGATAAATTGTAAAATATCAAATTGGACTTGCTGCATAACATTGTAAACATAAACAAATACTAAAAATAAATAACAGTGCTCAAATAGGAACAAGATATTACAGTAAAACGTCCATTTTATGGACGTAGATTTTACGAATAGTATATTTTACGAGTGGTCTTTGCCGCTGATGATGTCATCATTGTTAACACTGTAAAAAAAGTCCGGTTACACACGTTTTACAAAATCAAGCTTGTATTATTTATTAATAGTTCGATCTTTTCTTCCATTTATGGTATAATAATCACTATATTAATGTAATAGACCTAACCAAAACAACGAACTACCAATGCAAGTGTCATCGGATTGAACACACATGTTTACGACGAATGAGAGTGTTGGGGTCAGCACTTATTGACATCGTTAATGATGAATGATGATCGCAAAATGCATGTAAACAACACAATTCGGCGACTAACAAGTAGAAAGTACACCATAGAAAGGTTCATAAAACATTCGAAATAATATTTTGTTAAGTGGAAGAATGCCAGCGATTAAAATGCTTTGTTTTTTATCAAAGCTAAATTCATAGGCTCTACCGTGGTAGTCTAGAACACCAGGCCCGTAGCCAGGGGGGGTTTTTATGGTTCGGGCGAACCCCCCTTTTCTAGCGAACACCCCTGTTTTCTAGCGAACCCCCTCAAATTTTTCCCACTCGGACGGAATGTCTGTTTTTAACTTACCCAGCATTAAATCAACATTTAGCACATAATTCATTATTTGGTCACCCGGTTTTAAATCTAGCCTGCGATACAAGCCTTCATTCATAGAATATCTCAGCTTCAAAAGTTTGGAGATTTAAATTGAACGTAACACAAACCATGTGTAACCATCAGTCACGACTGACTTTAAGTTTTCTTAGTCAGTCGTGCATCAATATATAAAATCTGTAATTATTACAATAACTGTAATCAAGATCACCAAGATATGATATAGGATATTAAAAGAAAATTTGTTTCTGCACTATAGTGAAAACTGGATTGCCTTTTTATATTTTAAATAAATTTATAAACAATTTTAAATATTTAAATATAAACTATGAAAGTAAATACACGTAGATTAGATCAATAAAAATGGACATATTAGGCCTCGTAATCTTTATCTATCATTAACACGGATAACATTTTAAATATTCTAATCAATTTTTATATAGCCGGAGTTAGTTTCGACCTAGACAAACCTTTGCTAAAAAGGTACACTTTCTCCATGAAAAGGCTTCTTCTATGAATGGAATGACCTGTTCGAAGCACGAACTCATGTAGACCAAGCCAAGTACCGTTACGATGTTTAGTCGTACGGGAAATCCACTCACGATGCAGTACCGTTATGATTTTTAATCGTACGGGAAATCCACTCACGAAATATTTTCTAATTTTATTATACAGTATTACCACCTTTTTATTACATAGATCTTTTTCAAAGCATAACTGCTTTTATAACATTATCAGGCCCGTAGCCAGCACGCTTCAAGGGGGGTTCTGGGCGTGGAGTCCAGGGGTCCGCCAAAGGGCCCTGGGTGGGGTCAAGGGGGCGCTAAGCCCCTGTGGGGGCCGGGGGCGAAGCCCCCGAAGCCAGAGCATTTATACGATTTTAAAAGCATGTACATGTCATTTAAATGCATGTTCATGTATATTTAAATACTTCTTACACAATTTAAAAAATAGGATAAGAAGACTACTTTTCCAATACAGGATTTAGAACGTAAATGTTTATTGTGAAACAAATTTTTTTTTTATTAAAAAGCAATGCTTAACATTTTAATGCTACTATGTAATGTTATCTCTAAAAATATAACTGGGATAAAATTAGCAATACCCACTAGGTGACACTACAAAACACAGACCTTGCACATTATGAGATCGCTAAATACCAATATTAAAATATGGAGGTATATAAAAGGTCTTTGCTTAAAAGAGAAATACTGCAAATAATATTTTATTTATTGCAGAAATGAAGAAACAATAGGAACTGACAGCCCTATATTTTACTTTTTTACCAAAATAACTTAAATGTTAAGTTCCAATGGAAATATATATAGGCCTAATTAGGGCAAGGAAAAACGTTATTATATTTACAAGTTACTGAACCATTTACGTAAATATTACCTGCACGGTAATATTGAGAAAAAAAACAAAACAGACATAATTATAATGCTACAAATGTACATGTTTAAGAGCCAGTGTAAAAAAACTTAGCACAGTGAAAATAAACAATAATTTAATTAAGAGCTGTCTTGGTTTAAATGAGATATATTGAGAAAAAATAATAAATATATTATTATGAATAATGTCAGTTAATTCTGACGAAACGTGAAAACATTACCAAGTATATTTCCTTGCTAGCCTAGGCCATGGCTAGCTCGATTACAAAATAAATAATAAAATCGTTCTCAAATAATAGGCCTCATACATATAGGCTACGACCCTACCCTACCTAGCAACGCTAGACCTAGGCCTAGGCCTAGCCCGAAAAAGTACACCGGTCCCGCCGCCAGGCAGTATCATGAGCATGTGGCGAAAACAAGGGTGAATTTTCTAACTTCTTAAATTTCGTGATTTCTTCGTTGCTGGTCTTGAAGCAAAAAAATCGGTTATCCTTTCTCGGCGCTTCATCCTCCCCCGCCTAGGCTATTTGGCGTGTCGCATGTCCTCGATCCCAGAGAAATGAAAAATGTCGAGCGCCCAAACTTTTGTGCTGACGTCGTGCCAAAGTAAATAAACTACGGAGCACGCGATTGGTCAAATAGCCTAGGCAACAAACCTCTCATTAATATTCATTTTGAAGTCTTGCTGGTTACGTCATTCAGCTGGCTGCAGCTTTGTTTTGGTTTCTACGATCGGACTACGATCGATAGCGACAAATAAACAGTGCCAAAAATGCTCCCATTTTGTAATAAATTGCACTATCTTGGAAACGGGGGATCGTTTTCTGGCTAAGGGGGTTCGCTGGCAAAAGGGGGTTCGCTGAAAAAGGGGCTTCGCCCGAACCCCTAAAAACCCCCCTGGCTACGGGCCTGATTGTATAGACCCATTAAACACAAAAACTGCTCTGGCTTCGGGGGCTTCGCCACCGGGGCCCTTAGGCAGGCCTCTGGACCCCACGCCCAGAGAACCCCCCCCCCTTGAAATGACCTGGCTACGGGCCTGAACACGCTGCTGCACTGTTGGTTTGCCTGGCTGCTGTCAGTCTATCAGCGCTCAATGGCAGGGGATAGCTAGGTATTGGAAACCGACAGCTGATCAAATTTTTCAATTTATGAACACAACTTGGTACCAAAGGGGTACATAAAATAGACATTTTACTGTAGGACTGTGTGACAAAAAATGACTGGTGGGATTCAAACCTGCAACCCCTTGCTATCAAGGCAGGTATTATACACATTACACCATAGAGACCTGTAGGGTGTATGCGCAGATCAAGCCTTCGAGCACTTTTTGTCATACAAAACAACTGAATTAAGGAACTTTTTGTTGAAGGTCTATGTATAAGAGGAATCTGCTAGTACAGAATGAGTTTGAGACCTTACAACTGACTTTTCCGTAGAAACTTCTATTTTGTGACGCTGTTTTTGCCAACATGAGTAGTACACATTTGGGTGAAATTAACTTGCATGGTTTACTGTTTTGTTTTTTAGCCATAAAAACAAGAATGGAATCCAAAATTGTGCATTATCTTGTTATAATGGGTTTTCCTCTGCGGAAAATAAGGAGAATTATCGAGAGACAACTAAGAACAAGGAATGTGAATAGTTTAAATACCATTCAGAGTCTCATTGACGCCTTGCTTGTTGAGTCAGATGAGCCTAGAGACAACATAACATCAGCAAATACAATGAATGGAAAATTAGGTGGGGGCTATGTCTTTTGATGTTGTCAATAGCTGTGTAGGCCTACTTGTGTAGCATATATATACTGGCTCTTTCACTCCTGGTGTGACATCCTGAATTTAGCTGGAACATAACCCATGCCTTCTGGGTGAAATAACATTAACCACAAATCAAAAATCTCTCAGGCTTCCTTAAAAATATATCATAGACTAAGATGTATATATTTTATTTTCTAAAGATTTTAAATATACTTATTACAATTACAGTAATAAATCCATACATTGCATTGATACTATGCTGTATTAAAATATTAACCTTATATTGTTTCCTTTTGTTAAATAGAAGCAGTACTTCCAGCTTCAATCCTAGATGACAAGTGGACTTGTAAGATCCGTGTGGACAATGAAATCAATGTATTGTTAACACCATGTGGGCATTTGGTGGCCTGTGAACAGTGTGCACGCTTAATACAAATATGTCCGATTTGCAGATTGCCTATAAAAACTCTCATTAAAATATGCCTGTCTTAAATGTTACTTTTAATTCAACGATTGTTAACTGTTTCACTAAAAATATTTTAAATCCAGGATCCGGAGGAACATATTTTATATGTTGTACAACTGATTTTTCTAATAGTAATACACAAAAACCTGGGAATGGTTATGAGATACAGATAATTAGATAATTATGTGTGCTTAACAAGACTTGATGTGTTGAGTCCAAATGACAGGATGGATTTTTTTGCAAGATTAACTGCAAAAGTAAAAAAAAAAAATAATGGTTATGTTTAATTTCTAGAGGAGATTATATTTTTCAAATGAATCTCTTCCAAGATAAAAAAAAAAAAAATGTTCTTAACTCCTATGTTATACTGTACTACCAAAATTTATTGATTTTATCCTTTCTATGTTGCGGAGGGTAAAGTTGGATTACTCGGTTTTTATAGGTAGTAATATTTTAAATTTCTAGTTTTTTATGGATTAAGCGATATTTTTACTAAATGTAGAGATTTTATCATGTTGTATTGGCCAATTTCTCAGCAATTTTCCACAATTTTTGAAAATTACAATTTGCAATCAGGATGAAATCTTACTGAAGTGTGGCTTAACAGAAATGCATGGGTACAAAATACCCATTGCTTACATACAAAAGCTACACTATATATATATATATATATATATATATATATATATATATTATAATGCCAAAAAAAATTGTTTGTTTGCCCTCCTCCACCCGCCCCTAACTCACTGATGAGTATTTTTAAAAAACAAATAAAAAAAACCAACTTTTTCCACCTGCCCCTATTTATCATTTTAATAAAAAGAAGGGCAAACAAACAATTTTTTTTGGCCTAAACATTAATTCAGAATAACTTTTAAATGTGTCTGTATGTAAGTTAGTGTGAAAAGAGAGAGTACTGGAAAATGTAGCTAAGGGTGCTAGTGTAAAAGTGGTTGGGACATCAGTTGTGGCTTGGACTTCAACCTTGATTTCAGGCCTTTGAAACTCTTGCTGTGCAAGCCCCTTGTGTCCTGGGGTAAGGCATATCTATGTATGTCTCTACCCAGAATTATATAAATGAGTACCTGGTAGAATGTTGTGGCACTGAATGTAATAGTTTCGTGCGCTAAACAAGTAGCACATGACTATGTACACGCCACATTGAACAGAGAAGGTTGCGCTTTGTGCTGGTTTGCCATTGTATCCAGTGACCAGGGGTAATAACGCTCAGTGTCTTTGATCATTAACTTTAGAATTGGCACTATATAAATATTTGTGTATTTGTAGAATACATTAGTTTCAGGAACTGTTACAGGGGTGGGGGGAGCATGGTACAGTATTCCAAAACAGGTTTTATGTACCAGTGTCTATTGTCAAGCATTTCTAAACAAAAGTCTTTAATACCACCCCACCTGGTGCTTTCAGGGGCGGATTTAGGGGGGGGGGGGCGGCCGGCCCCGGCCCCCGCTTTTGGGAGGTAGAAAAAGAAGAGAGAAAAAGAAAAAAATGATAGCCCAGAATGCCTCAAATGTTATGTTCGGGCGTCTAGAACACAAAAATTTCGCGGGGGCATGCCCCAGACCCCCTACGACAGTGTTGTCTCAATCGGCCCAACTTTCGGCCCCCTCTTTTGGACATTTCTGGATCCGCCCCTGGTTTTGCACGTCACTGGGACCCTAACCAGATTTTTCTCTGGACCTCCCTGACAGTTAAATATCAAAAATTGTTTCTGAATTAACTGTAGGTTTTTATTTTGGTCAAGTAGATTAGTTTGTTATAACACTTTGAGGGGTGTTTTTTGCATCCTGTCTCATAGCCTTATATGTCTTCCATTTTTCATTAGACTGCAAGTTAATGAACTTGAATACAGTATATTGAAAACTTCAAAGGGTAGAAAAATTTTGGTTCTGATGAATGTGATGTCATCAAACCTGTTATTGCATTTGTTACATCTGCTTTTGAGGCTTTGGCCGGATAACTGGGATCCGTCCATGGCTTGTGATGACTGTATCAGATAAAATGAATTGAAACAAATAAACTGATAAGTTTTAATAAGAATTATAAAATTTATTATGGAGTGATGAATAGTAGAATTAGAATCAAGAGAATTTTATATAAAGGATTAGATCAAGACTGAAAATATACTAAGTATAATGTATTTGATTGATGGTGATTTCAATAAAGGATAACAAGAAACTGCATTAAGTCTGCTGAATATAATTTGATTTCTATTCATGCGAGTCAACATACATTATTCAGTTTTCTAGTCCACGTATCAAAAGTCATGATGGATACTGGCGCTATTCAAAGAACCTCGAATTGAAGCCCAATGGGCTTAATCTCATCTCTTTAGTTCATGGTACAGTACATGAATTTGAAAACAATGCCAGTTTAATACATTCCATGTTACAGTTGCCTTATTATTTCATAGTACAAATTCACAAAATTTAAAGCTTTCTATTTGAAAAGAAGCCACCCTCTTTACGTCGCAAAAGTAGCCTAGAGAAGAACATTTTCAGGTCCAAAAAGAATGGAAATTAAAATAGAATTTTTAAGAATATATCAGTGTCCTACTTGTAGGTGAAAATCCCGTGCAAAAGTCAAACATGCACACATACTTCACACACTCAAAATCTAAATGAGGTTTAGATTGAATAAAAGGAGGACGAGTGCCTTATAGGATTTTTAAAACAATTCTTAAAAATTCTATTTTAAGGGACTCGTCCTCCTCTTATTCAATCTAAACCTCATTTAGATTTTGAGTCAAGTAGGACACTGATATATTTGCTATTGACAATCCTTGATACATGTGCCAAAATAAATTTTTAATATTAATCATTTTCACACATGAAGACATTACAATAGCATGGTCTTTAAAGAATGCATCACCCCAAGCTTTGTTGAATAAGTTTCAATATTGGATACTTACCTGTCTCTTTTAAACATCTAGATGTGTATAAGAGACAGCAGTAATAATGTCGGTGGTAATGGTAGTGGTGATGGTAATGATGTTGGT